ATTCTCTCTCCATTGCTCGAGACTGTAGGGGGGCTGTTAGGAAGGCTAAGGTGGAGACAGAACTAGGACTAGCAACCAGGATCAAAGACAACAAGAAGTCCTTTTTTAAATACATAGGGAGTAAAAAGAAGGCACTGGGTAATATGGGGCCCCTGCAGGACATGCTTGGCAATCCAGTGGTTGCACCAGACAGTAAAGCTGACCTCTTTAACAAATTTTTTGCCTTTTTTCTGAGCAGGGACTGGCACTTCCCCCCCATCGGGATCCCGGACAGACTCAGGAGAGGCACATCCAGGCCTAGGGTCAGGGAGGACATAATTAGGGAACTTCTGGAGGGGCTGGATGTGTTCAAATCAGCAGTTCCAGATGATCTCCACCCCAGGGTGCTGCAGGAATTGGCAGAGATAATTGCGGGACCCCTGGTATGGCTTTACAAGCACTCACGGTGCTCTGGCGAGGTGCCAGAGGACTGGAAGAGGGCCAATGTAGTCCCCATTTTCAAAAAGGGGAGGAATGAGGACCTGGGAAACTATAGGCCCATTAGTCTTACCTCGGTCCTGGGGAAGCTCTTTGAGAAAATTATCCAGGAGCACATCTGCGAGGTACCAGCAGGAGAGATTATGTTTAGGGGCAAGCAGCATGGGTTCATTAGGGGCAGGTCCTGTCAGACCAACCTGGTTGTCTTCTACAACCAGGTCACAAAATCCATAGACGCAGGTGTCGTGGTGGATGTAGCCTTTCTGGACTCTAGGAAGGCCTTCGACACTGTCTCTTACGCCATTCTCATTAAAAAATTAGGCAACTGCGTTGCCTACAGTCAGACAGGTTGCAAATTGGCTGGAGGGCCGCACCCAGAGAGTGGTGGTGGACAGGTCATTTTTGACATCCTCATCAGTGACTTGGACAAGGGGGTGAAAAGCACCTTGTTCAAATTCACAGATGACACTAAGATGTGGGGAGAGGTGGGCACGCTAGAAGGGAGAGACAGGCTACAACTAGATCTGGACAGGTTACAGGGGTGGGCAGATGTCAGTATTGCATCCCATCCTATTCTCAAGTGCAAGGTGCTGCACCTAGGGAAGAAGAACCAGCAGCATACCTACAGGCTGGGGAACTCCTCTCTCATCAGCACAGAGGCAGAAAGGGATCTTGGAGTCATCACTGATTCCAAGATGAACATGGGCCGTCAATGTGGGGACAGGGTCAGTAAGGCTAACCGCACCTTGTCATGCATCCACAGATGCATCACGAGCAGGTCCAAGGAGGTGATCCTCCCCCTCTATGCAACATTAGTCAGGCTGCAGTTGGAGCACTACGTCGTTCTGAGCGCCGCACTTCAGGAGGGAGTGGCCAGCGTTGAGAGGGTCCAGAGGAGGGCCACTCGCATGGTCAGGGGGCAGCAGGGCAGGCCCTATGAGGAGAGGCTATGGGACCTGAACCTGTTCAGCCTCCACAAGAGAAGGCTGAGGGGGGATTTGGTGGCCGTCTATAAGCTTACCAAGGGGGACCAGCAGGGAATGGGAGAGTCCCTGTTCCCCCTGAGCACTAACAGGAGTAACTAGGAATAACGGCCATAAATTGACTGAGAGTAGGTTCAGGCTAGTCAACAAGAGGCGCTACTTCAGTCAGGGCAGCCAGGATCTGGAACCAACTTCCAAGAGAAGTGGGGCTCGCTCCTACCCTGGGGGTCTTCAAAAGGAGGCTAGATAATCACCCTGCCGGGGTCATTTGACCCCAGCATCCTTTCCTGCCCATGGCAGGGGGTCAGACTTGATGATCTGCTCAGGTCCCTTCCGACCCTACCAACTATGAAATGAACAAATAACGACAAGTCAAAATTGGACATGCGCTTAACCTGGGTCAGCAGCTCGGTTTAAATTGTTTTTGCCTACTCTTCCTCTGAGGTCTCTGTCAAACCATGACTGCTTACTCACCCGTGAAAAAGAGCTAAGTTGCTGTGGTCTAGCTTCCTCTTATCGAGGGATAAGAACCAGTAACATCAGCAGTCTCCTGAGAACAACTGACAAGTAAATCCCTGCTCACTTTTAATTCACCGTAACCTGATCATTTCTCCATATTCAGTGTGCACCAGCTCTTCAAAACTCTTGCTTTTACTGGCTTCTCTAAATATCATGATCTTTAATTTACCTTAGAAGGGAGCTTGTATAGGGTAAATAATCCTAGAAGTCCAAATGTTATTTTTATTTTTTTTTTACAATAAACTTTCCTTCTACAGTTTCTCCTGCCCAACGAACACCACTCCCTTTGCAACTGAAGGTTAATTTTCAACATATATTTCCTTCTATATCCAGACAGCCTGTTGATTCTATAGCAGACAAAAAAAAGTATTTTATGTTCTTACTGCTCAAGACAGTTCTCATCTTGGCACACAATGTCATCAAAAATAGTTCAGTTTAAGTCAGCTTTCTTTCCCACGGACAGACAGAGGTATTACAGCAACAAGTACCTCATAAATATGTAAGAATTAAGGGCCAGATCAGAAAAGGTATTTAGGTATCTAAACAACCATGAATCCAAGAGACTTCAACCTGCAAAAAATCAGGTTGGTTGATGCAGAGAGAACACCGATAATAACCGAGTTTCCTTTCTTAAGTATTCACCAATTGCATTCGTGTTGCCTACCCATCCACCAACCATGTTAAATTGTGACTGTGTTATTTAAAAACGTAGAGATCCCTGTAGCATGTATTCCCAAGCATGCTATAAAAACACAGGCAACTCCCGCTTAATGCTGTAACACTCGTTTTACATTGATACCCAACTCCACTCTTCAAGTTTTGTTATAATGCTCATGGGCATCACACAGCTGGCAGCAGGGAGCGTACACTAGCGCCACAGCTCAGCAGCAGCAGCACAGTCTTGTTGTGCAAGTTAGCGCCAGTTGGCTTGTGTCACCATCTTGGTTCATCAAAAAACAAACAAACCTGGTCTCGCTTAACGCTATATTCCATTTAATGCTTGGTTTTTCAGGAACCAATTAAGAGCGCTAAGTGGGGGTTTGTCTGTATTTTACTTGAACAAGTATTTAGGAATCTGTACTGGCAACAGGACTGTCCTTAAATGGTTCTTACCCACCCCTTGGAAAAGTATTTTAAGGAAGAGGTTGGTATATCACAATCAAGCGTTTCACAAAAAAATAATTAAATCCTTTTTGGTATGAAACACTTGTTTGGGATATACCAAACTCTTCCGTAAAAATTCTATACCAAGCAGCACTTTTCCTACTTACAACATGACAATTTAGAGACTCACCACATACCATAATTTGAATAGAAGTACAGTACTGGAATATTTTATAATGGTAAAGTTTGACCATGCTACACTCATAAGCATTTGTCTGTGAAAGCACCTTTGTGTAACTTCATAGAGATTATCAAGGGCACTCTACAAAAAGAGATGGGTTCAATCAGCACACTACAGTAGTCACAGGCACAGTGCCAAACCTGTCACTTCAGTGTTAGTGACAACCATAAGGGGGCACATCAGTGATGTCTCCCAATTCTGTAATCAGCAGCTCTCCCAAGCACACGCCACAAAAGGTATTTTTCTCCATGCTAAAATCGTATGAACATACAACACCCCTCTCTTTCGCTGTCACTGCTTTTCAGCTACAAGTCCTGAAGTAACTTGATTCAACACAAGACCTCCATTTGGGACACAAGGTCGACATGACGGGAGGAGCGTGCTCGACCGGCACAATAAATTGTTGCCCCCTAGGAACAGAAACGCAGCATCTCTTGCTGCTCTAAGTTAATCATTGGGAACAGAAACGCAGCATCTCTTGCTCCAAGTCAAATCGACACACGCTTCCTCAGAAGAGATCGCTCTTTTCACTCGTGCAGGCACACGATGCGACGCGACGGTGTCACCAGGCACCCCGAACAGACCGTGCGAAGAAAAGCTGAAATAAATTTGCTCCGACCTATACCTGTCGCTTTCCTTTTTTTGGGGCAAAAGTCTAGTTCACAGATTTCACAGTCGTTAGGGCTGGAAGGGACTGTGGCAGATCAAGTCCGGCCCCCCGCCCCAGGGGCAGCAAGTCAGCCAGGGTCACAGGATCCCAGCAAGACCAACTGACTCTTAAAGGAGTCCCGAGTAGGTGCACGCATCGGTCCGATACAAGGCAAATCACCTCTCCCACGAGTCCCAATTCCCTTTCGCCTCTAGACCAATACGGCCGCGACGCAGCCCGATGCTTTCCTTTCGGGCATTAAACACTTTAGAGACAGGGAAATTGGGAGGAAACAAAACGATGGCTTTAAAAACATTGTGAAAATTTACCGAAGCCGTTCACCCCCGTCCGTCCTGGCACTTGCCGGCCGGGCGGGCGAGTCGGCGTGGACGTCTCTGGCGAGGCAGGGAGCGGGTCGGGAGGAAGCCACGCGGTTTCGGCAACCGCGAGCGCCGGAGCGGCCCGACCACCCCGG